TATATATATATATATATATATATATATATATATATATATATTTGCGGCATGTTATGCTTTATTGCTTTAAAGAAAGTGATAGGGCAAAGGACACTGCAAACGAGATTTGTACCGTTTACAGTGATGGTTCTACGACTATTAGGACAGTCCACGATTGATTTGAGAGATTTAGAGCTGGCAATTTTGATTTGAAAGACGAAGACCGCAGCGGCCGTCCAACAACGACGGATGCGGACCTTGTCAAAGATATGCTCGCTGAAAATCCGCGATACAGCGTGCGCGAGATAGCGGATGCCACCAACATACCCAGGACAACGGTACATAAGCATTTAATCAAGATGAGATATGTGAATCGATTCGAAATTGCTTCTCCAACTTGTCACTGGAGACGTGACTTGGATTTTATACCAAAATGTGCATCGAGAACGAACTTGGTCAAAGGGAAATAGTCCCTCAATTGTTGCGAAGTCAGGACTTCGTCCGAAGAAAGTTCTTTCGCGCGTTTGGTGGGACTGGAAAGGCGTAGTCTACTACGAGCTCCTTCCTCAAGGTGAAACGATCAATTCGGCTAAATATTGTAATCAACTCGATGAATTGAAAGCCACCATAGCAGAAAAACGGCCAGAATTGGCGAACCGACACGGCGTCGTTTTTCATCGCGACAACGCAAAGCCGCGCGTGTTGCGTTGTTCGCAAGACAAAAATGATTGCAGTTCGATTGGAACGTTCTACCTCATCCACCGTACTCTCCAGACATTGCTCCATCCCGATTATTACTTGTTCTTCTCGTTAAAAAATTCTCTCCGTGAAAAACGATTCAAATTCGTAAGCGAAATAAGAACGCACCTTGAACAATATTTTGCAAATAAGCCTCAACAATTTTGGAAAGACGGCATAACGAGGCTTCCCGAGAGATGGAAGAAGGTAATAGAGCAGAACGGTTCATATATAACTCGATGAATGAACTTTAAACAATAAATATCGCGTAATCATTTCGCATCAGAAAAAAGGAAAGAACTTATAGGACACCCTAATACTTCACTTAATTTTACAACTTGCAACGCTCCTCACTCGACGACTCTCGAACACTCTCTGTCCACTCCAAACACGCTCCTTCGACACAATGCCTGGCTTTTCTAAAAACGTGACAATCTCATCCGCCGGCTCTCCGTCGCCAAGGGTTCTTTTCATCTGACCCGGCCTTCGCCAACGTTTCTCTTTTAATACAAAGTCTTAAAACTACGGCCTCCTAAGCCTAACACTCCTCCTCGTCCTAAACGTACCCACTAAATTACGATACTACATATATATAATTATAATTGTTTTCGACATCGATGCCGCATATTCCCCAGAGCTGTTTGGATCAACGTCGTCTTCGTTGTCTTGTTGCAGGCCTCGAAGCCACGAATGATCGCGTCCACGATCAATAAAATGGAGTTGATGTACCTGGACACGAGCGGGGCCGCCGACGACGGCCACGTGAGGAACGATCGAAGGCTCTACCCCAGTTCGATCGATAGCATGAACATGGATCTACAGTCGAAGCTGCGACAGCAGAAGTAACGGAGGAGATCGTTTTGTCGACCGACGATCCATGCTTCGACGATCCCGATTCCGCGCCGCGATCTACGATCGCGGAGATCTCTGAGCGCAGCTTCGTGTTAGTCCGATGATCGCAGGACAGAGTTTTCCTGCGCGACTCGTCCACCAATTTAGGATTCTATAGACTGAACTGAGGCTGATCTCGTAGATCGGGCGTGTTTGGGTAGCTCTGAAATAGAGGGGCTCTGCAGGGTGTCGCATCAATTGCCTTACTTCCGGGAAACGAGAAAGAGAGGTTCGCCAGGTGATTCCGAGCAACTTTTTCCTCAGCGAAAATTCGATCCGCGGCTCCGTTTACGAGTTATCGGCGATAAACGCCGGCCAATGGGAGGGCAAGCTCGACCAGCGCTGGGCGGGCCGCGCCGACGAGCGGCTGGCGCCGAGCCCCGCTGATTGGCTCGGCTGCTCAGCGCGGCCGCCTCTCGCCGCTCATTGGTCGCCGTTTTTCGTCGATAACTCGTAAACGAAGCCTCGGATCGAATTTTTGCCGAGGAAGAAGCTGCTTGGAATCGCCTCGAGAAGCGATTCCCGGAAGTCGCGTAATTTTCGGGCATATTCTGTATACGTAAGGGAACAGGAGGATTTCGGGAGACGCCGTTGTTTCTCGAGGAAACCGGGCGCGCAGCGTCTCTCTCATTCCGTCGAGCCTTATCAATCGACGTGTCTCGAGCAATCATGACTACAGCAGCGATCGGGGTGAAATTTCTTTAAGACTGACTAAGTAGCGATCGATACCTTGAATTAGTGCCTGAACAGCTGAACGATTTTAGGAGCCTCTAGCATGAATGCGCGACGAGCGCCGATCGAGCCGATGGACAACGACGTGTTCGACCCCGAGAACCGGACATTCTGATTACGATTAGGGTTAGTCTAAGATGGGACCAAGGATGGTTGGAAAATGGGAGTGTGTGATGGAACCGTGTCAATTCGAAGGTGCCAAGTTCTTTGTACCAGTTCTAATAGCAATATATATCGTCGAAATATTGACGATTAGCGCACGGCAGATGATCGATCGATCAATCGACGCCTATGTTCCTCCTTTGCTCGCGTATGGTGGCGACAGTTTGTGCCAATACTTTTCTAGCTAAGATCGCCGCGTTAATTTTAGTCAATTAAACCACGGGCGTCCTATTTACCGCGTTAATTATCCCGCAGTTCGTCTCGCGCCGACGAACCGACTCCACGATCGGGCTACTGCGATCTCGATCATGTTCGATCAAGTGCAATTTCTAGATATAATATATCAAAGCCTCAGCGGGTTTCCGTTCGAACACGGGAGGGCTCGTCGAGCGCGTCGGGTTCTTACGAGGACGGAAATTTTTGTATTGTATTTTAATAAATACTTTAAGCTATTTGATTTCGTTAGAAACGCGTTCCAGTGTCTCTGACACCTTTATACTTTTTCTCTCAGTGTTCTTTCTTCGTATTCGCGCGGTACTACAATTATTTAGTTTCAACGTCCACGCCTTCTATTTTTTATTTTTTTTTTTTTTAAGACATCGGTGGTGTGGAATTATATTATCTCGAAGCTGCAGCATAAAATATTGTTGAACACTTTTGTTCTCTCTCTCTCTCTCTCTCTCTCTCTCTCTCTCTCTCGCTCTCTCTCTTTGTTTCTTGAAAAATGCATCTAAGAAACCATTCTACGATTAATTAGCGTTATTTTATCATCTGCAGAGCTAGAATGAACCTTCGTGCATAACTCCGTAAAATATCGCACCTGGAGTTGCAATAATTAATTAGTTATTAAAGATCTCCTGAGAAATTCCTTTCCTTTTTATTTAAATCTCCGTGCAGCGCCATTCCGTGTAGCGGCAAAACGATCAAACTAGTAGCCAAAACCTAGCGGCGGAACGCTGAAACTCGTAGGTAAACTATTTCGAGTAGACTACTACACAATAGATAATTAATTTCCATACCTTAGGGGCATAATTTACGCACTTTTATTATTGAAGAATCTAGATGGAAGTCTTAGCTACATTTTGAGTACATTTTCGTATATATTTGAGTCTAAATTAGTTAGTTATTAACTTTTCGAAAATTTCGAAAATTGTATCAGGAGAATATGATGTGCGAGGAGGTATTCTTTCGAATGCCTGGCCTGACGTTGACTTGTACTACTTTTTCCGAAAAATATCAATTTTTCGAGATTTCAGTAGTACAAGTCAATAACAGGACAGACAAAAATTTCGAAATCTCGAAAATTTTCCCAATTTTAGTGGTACAAGTCAACAACAAGCCAGACAATGATTTTCAGAATACCTCCTCGAGAAATTATATGTTCCTGATACTCGAAATTTCAGTAGTACATGTCAATCACAAGCTAAACAAAGCCATTCGAGATGCATACCTCTTCGCCTCCTGATACAATTTCCAAGTAGTTTAAGTCAATGGAAAGCTATCAAAATGCGAAAGGGAGGGAAAGAAGTACATGAGGAGTGGTTCCAGAGAAGTAAGATAAAGAAAAGGAAGGAATTAGGTGGTGAAGGCGAGAGAAGAGGAAGAGATTGATTGTGGAAGAACGAAATTGATTGTGAAGAAAATGAAGAGCAAATGATGTAGGATGAATAAAAAGGAGTAGATAGACGAGAATAGGAGGGAGAAGTAAGATAGTGTGGGAGAAAACAGGAGACACGAAAGTGAGCACAATGAGAGCAAGAAGTGAAGTATTATGGGGGTGCGAAAGAAAAGAGGCGGGAAGGAGATATAGTAAAGAATGCGAAGAGAGGGAAGAGAGGAAGACAGAAAGGGTGGGAGAGAGAGAAAAAGAGAATGGCTGAGAGAGATAAAGGGTGAGAGAGAGAGAGAGAGAGAAAGAGAGAAAGAAATATAGAGAGAGAAAAAGAGAGAGAGGAAGGTAAAAAAACAGGTGAGAGAGAGAAAGGGTAGAGAGAGAAAGAGGGAAAGGCTGAGAGAGAGAGAGAAAGAGAGAAAGAAATATAGAGAGAGAAAAAGAGAGAGAGGAAGGTAAAAAAACAGGTGAGAGAGAGAAAGGGTAGAGAGAGAAAGAGGGAAAGGCTGAGAGAGAGAGAGAAAGGAAGAAAGATAGACAGAGAAAGAGAGGTATGCGGTAAATATGTTCTTTATTATTTAAGATTTCCAGGTTTTCCAAGCACTATTTTATGCAGGAATTAACTGAAGTAACGCCGCAATTACTTACTAACGAAAGAAAGCAACAATATTATGACCTAGTGTACCTAGTTATGCGATACAAAATTACTTATCGACTCAGGGTGCGCGACGCAAAGTTACTTATCGACTCACGGTGCGCGATACAAAGTAACCTATCGACTTACGGTGCGCGATACAACGTTACTTATCGACTCACAGTGCGAAATGCAAAGTTATTTACTACTCAGAGTACACAGAATCCTACATATATAACACGCCGAGAACTTGTAGCGCCATCCGTGGCATCACGCTGAAACTACTCGCCGAGAACTTGTGGTGACAGCGTGGAAGAACGCTACCTACTCGACGTGTATTGGTGGTGCCATATATGACAGAACGCTGCAACTATCTATCGTGTACTTGTGGCGCCATCCGTGACAGAATGCTGAAACTGGTAGCCAAACGTTTGGCTAACAGTTTCAGCGTTTTGCCGTGAATGGCGCCACCAGTCTCGGCGAGTAGTTTCAGTGTTCTGCCACAGATGGCGCCACAGTATACTATCGCTATCTTTGTCGCACAGTGAGCTGTCCTTGTCTTACACATTATACACCTCATAGGGAAAGAAACACCCCCACGGAAGATCATTAATAACTAACTAATTTGGACTCAAATATGTACGAAATTGTACTGAGAATGTAGCTAAGACTTCCGTCTAGATTTTTCAGTAATAGAAGTGCATAAATTATGCTTCTAAGGTATGGAAATTAATTATCTATTGTGTACACCCCTTTAAATAACTTCGGTGAGGAGTTAAATAACTTCTTAATCGCAACAATAATCGGTGTAAAAACTATACGTGGAAGTGGCTACAGGTCTGCACTGCATTTCCCGATTGCAGAGGTTCATAGTTATTATATTATATAATAATAATATTATTATTACTATTATTACTGTATTATCATTATGATATTCCTTGGAAGAAATCTTTGAACGTACAAGTGGTAAGGATAGAGCTGAACGAACGTCGGATCGGGGAGGAATTTGATTCATCAAGTTATTCGTTTATTACCACAGTTATTATATGCGTAACGATCATCGGTAAACTTATACGTATATCAAAGTGATTAACCAATGCGCGTACATATTACGAAACACATAACTATACAAATATATTTATATATCACAGTCGTAGACAAAAAAGAAAGAGAAAAAGAATAAATCAATGTTAAATCGGTATCGATAATGCTTTACTTGAAATACACTTAAGTTCCTACTGTATCCGCCAGGAAGCCTCGGTGATCTTAAGCGAACGAATGCATTTTCGACGCGACAAAAAAGAACGCGTTTCGCGGGGTGAACCGTACACATAAACGCGGAACAAAGTTATGCGCGACACGATCGTCTGGATGAGATTATTCGCGATCGAACGATTTGAGGGCGGGGGAGGGTAGGGGTACAACGAACCGGGGGGAGACGCGTCGCAGGGAATCCGTAAAGAGGCGCGGTCAACAACAACGATCGAATATTCTCGAGTAACGAGAGGAAACATGTTCTACAACTATCGCCGATAGAATATATCTACGTGTTTGAAATCGTTTTTTTTTTCATCGTAAAACCAGTCTCGTTACTTGGACAATTACCGCGCGGAACAAATATTTCGTCCCGGAAACACGGCGAACACTGACAAACATCATGCAATCGACCCCGGTTGAGGGTCCACTACTATGCAAAATATCGAATTTTGATAACCTATGCGAACCGCCAAGCGTCTGTTTGCATATTTTGATATCGATTCAGCGGAAGAATTCGTCGATTCTCCGAGAGCACAAGCATCTTCCAGCGACCCCCGCGTTCTGTCAGCGTCGCTGCCAAGTGACAATCCGATGCGAACACCGTCGCCCGATGTCCTAACGATATCAGCGCGATATCAGATGTGCATCTTCTTTCGACAATGGCGAAAGATACCGTTTCGAATCAAGCGAGCACGATGCTCGACTAGCGCGACGCAAACGACGCGACGACTTCGATGCCGCTTTGAAAATTCGCTCGCCTTAAAGTGTAACGCAAATAGACCGCGGATTCGATGCGTTTAACATGGAAACGAGTCGATCGAGCGTCGAACAGTGTTAAAAGAAATTTTCAGACGCCGCGATAATGATTCTCGACTCGTCGAAGCGATCGACGGACCGCGCGGATCTTCGCGCGTTCAAATTCAAGGCTCGCGCGAATTTCTAAAATGCGAGAAAATACCTCGAATTAACAGGTGCTATGGCATTTGTATTTTCTTTCTGCGTTAGGCAAGAGCTTCTAGTTGACGAAGGAAACAGTTGTTTGATCGGGATATTTGAAAAAGGGGGAATAGAAATGAGAATTTGCGCGCGTAGATCCGCCGCGGTCCAGCGATCGGAGAACGCGATCGACGTCCTCGCGGACAATTCTGCATGGAAATCCGCGGTCTACCGGTAGAAAGATCGTCGATAGACGACGAACGGTTTCTCCGTGCGCGGATTCGTTCGAAAATCAACGTCGAGACGCGTTTCCTGACTTCGTGACACGCGACGAAGCGTGGTCGGCTCCGAATGGATCCTCGGAAATGGTCGTTCTCGCTTCTGCGAGCGCGTTTCTATCGGCTATTTCTCTCTGATTCTCCTGTGGAAGCACATTTACTACGATCAGCGACGCTCGAGAAGCTCTCTCCTCTCTCTCTCTCTCTCTCTCTCTCTCTCTCTCTCTCTCTCTCTCTCTCTGTCTCTTTCTCTCTTTCGATCTTTTTCTCTTGGCGCATCGATCGTCGCGCGTCCACGAGCGCGCCGGCCCTATCGCGCGCGTTTCTTTCAAGAGAATGGAGATCGAGGATCGACGGAAACCGGTGGCGTTGCTTGCGAGAGAATTTGTCTCTCTCTGCGAGAGAATTTAGCCGCGGTGACAGCCGGTTCGGCGACGCACGGGCCGCGAGCTCGATCTTCGCGTCGGTGTCTTCCAGTCCCGCGTTCTCTCGCCGATGAAATTTCGCTAAGACGACGCGTTGCACCGCAAGAGACCGGACGAGGTCGACGCTAGGCGTTCGATCGCTCGTCGGGCTTCTCCTTTCCCTAGAAGTTCGCCTCCAGAGATGTCCCAAGCTCGTTCAGAGCGGGCACCAACGTCTGCAGAGAGAAGTATCGCGACCGATCCGCCACGTCCACGCTGGTCACGTGCTGGAACTGGCACGGCTGGCTGATGTTGCTCTTCGCCGGCAGCACCACCTTCTTCGGCAACGGCTTCTTCTTCTTCTTGCCGGGCACCGAGAGGCTGATGTTCTCCGGGCAGGAGACGAGTCGCTCTATGTGCTGCCAGAGATCGTTCGCCGCCTTCGGATTGTCGAAGCTCAGACCCGCAAGGCGCGTGTGGTCCGACGAGAGGCACATCGTGTGGAAAGATGGTCCTGACACCTGGAAATCATAGCTATTAAAACTACCGTGTTATTTTCTATCTATGCTGCGTATTCAATTTATGGTGAACCGTGGTGCTGATTAGACTGCGGAGTTTATGCATGTTAAGTTGGGTTACCGTGGGGCTGATTTTATGTCATGGTGCACAAATGGAAGCTGGAAGAGTCTACTTTGACAGAGGATAAGTGAGATTACATTGAAATAATTTAAATATATTGAAAAATTTGGGAAACTGAACCCGTGACAAGAATGAAAAATAAGGGAAAATTAGGAGACATTAAAGGGAAGTTTAGATGGAATTTAAATAACTTTCCCGTGGGGATAATATTTTATGCCATGGCGCAGAAGTGAAAGCTGGAAGAGTCTACTTTGACAGAGGATAAGTGAGATTACATTGAAATAATTTAAATATATTGAAAAATTTGAAAAACTGAACCCGTGACAAGAATGAAAAATAAGGGAAAATTAGAAGACTTTAAAGGGAAGTTCATATGGAATTTAAATAAGTTTCCCGTGAGGATAATTTTATGCCATGGTGCAAAAATGAAAGCTGGAAGAGTCTACTTTAAAAATGGGTTAATGAGATTAAAATGAAATATCTTGAACTCGTTGGAAAATTGGAAAAACTGAATCCATGACAAAAGTGAAAAGACAGCGGAAATTAGAAGACTTTAAGGGGAAGTTCAGATGCATTTTAAGCGTCTTTCCTGCGGTGCTGATTTTATGCCACGGCACTGAAATGAAAGCTGGAAGAGTCTACTTTAAGATAGGGTAAATGAGATTAAATTGAAATATCTTAAACCCTTCGAAAAATTGAAAAAACTGAACTCATAAAAATTCGATGATTTTAAAGGAAAGTATAGATGGATTTTAAGTGACTTTCCCGCGGGGATAAATTTATGCCATGGTGCTCGAATGGAAGCTGAAAGAGCCTACTTAAATATAGGGTAAATGAGATTAAACGGAAATATCTTAAATCCTCAGAAAAATTGGAAAAACTACACCCATGACAAATATGGGAAATCAGTGAAAATTTGGCTACTTTAAAGGGAACTTCAGATGGATTTTCAGTAACTTTCCCGTGGGGCTAATATTATGCTATGTTGCTTAAAAGATAGCTGGAAGAGTCTACTTTAAGATAGGGTAAATGAGATTAAATTGAAATAGCTCAAACACTTCAAGAAATTGGAAAAAATGAACCCATGACAAAAATGGAAAATCAGTGAAAAGTCGTCGATTTCAAAGAGAAGTTCATATGAATTTTAAGTGACGTTCCTGTGGTGCCAACTTTATGCCACGGCGCTCAAATGAAAGCTGGAAGAGTCTACTTCCTCTCTGCAAAATGTTAGAATCGTCGGTTACCTTGTACGAGGTCAAATTGTCTATGGTCTCTTGCCAGAGAGTGAAGCATGTGCCGCGCTCAGCGAGCAGAATCTGGATCCGTCTTTTGGATCTCGATCGGGTTCCGCCCAAATCCAGGACGACCACGGGAATTCCAGTGAACCGGAGCTCCCATCTTTCTGTCTGGGACGCGTTCCCCAGATACAGGTTGGCCAAGGATTCGCATACGAACACCTATTTCCCGAAGGAGAACGAACAAGGATTACGACATGAGTGAGAGAGAAAGATCGAGAAAGATTCATCTTCGGGCTTCGGAGAGTATTTTCGCATGAAAGGACGCGGTAGGCGATCGTAGGGACGTCTCGAAAAGAGGATTTACCTGAGACTTTAAGCCCCGAAAGAACGTCTCGACTTGCTCGCGCTCCACTTGGCTGACAGGCTCGAGACGCGACTCGTCGCTGTGCTCGGAGCTGTCGCTGCCTTCGTAGCTCGACGTGGCTGAGGTGTCTGGTTCTCCTGTCGAGGACAATCGCCTCCTCGCGGCACCGTTGTACTCGCTGTAATAGGAGGAACTGTGTAGGGAAAGGTTCGACTGCAACGCCGGACAGGATGACGCGTACACCGGTGCGTTCATCATTCCCTGAAATCAACAAGAATGTCGTAAATACCGCGAAAATGAGTCATTTTGTGAGGAAAGTTCGTGACGGTTTCACGTCGCGTTCCCGTTCAGATTTTTTAATTTCACCTAGCTCGAACGAAAGCTGGAAGTGTCTGCTTTAAGACATGGTAAATTAAATTAAATTAAGATTATGAGGACAGTTTAAAAAAAAAATTATAAAAACACGAACCCCGACGAAAATGAGAAATTAATAAAATTCTGTGAATCCAAAGGGAAGTTGCGACGAATTTTAGGCTATGATCCCGATGGGCTACTTTGATGCATCTGTGCTCAAATGAAAGCTGGAAGAGTCTACTTTTTAACTGGGTAAAATAACTTAAAAAAGAATTACGATGTCGCATTGTAAAATCAAGAAATCGAGAGATCTGCTTCAAAGGGCAATGTGTTGACTTTTAAGGGTAACTTCAAGATGATGTTAATAATCTTCCCGTGGGAATTTTCAAAAGTAAAATAGCTTAAATTATAGCCGAAAGTGTCTGCTTCAAGACGTGGTAAATTAAATTAAATTAAGATTCCGCGGACGCTTTAAAAAATTATAAAAACGTGTACTCTGACGAAAATGAGAAATCATCAAAAATCTTACGAATCCAAAGGGAGAAGTTGCGACCAATTTTAAGCTACGTTCCCGATGGGCTATTTTGATGCATATATGCTTAAATGAAAGCAGGAAGAGTCTAGTTTTTAACTGGGTAAAATAACTTAAAAAAGAATTGCGATGTCGCATTGTAAAATCAAGAAATCCCGAGATCTGCTTCAAAGAGCATTATGTTAACTTTTAAGGGTGAATTCGAGACGATGTCACGTGATCTTCCGGTAAGACTTTTTAAAAATAAAATAGCTCAAATTATAGCTAAAAGTGTCTACTTTCATGTAGGGTACTGATCCTTAACAAGATTTCCCGGTAACAAGTTTAAAAATGGTAAATACGACGAACGAGAAGAGAAAGTCTGCTCGTAATATCAAGTGACACGTACGGAATACGTCAGATCCCGTGCTATCTGTTCCGATTCGGATTAAGATTAAAACCGACGAACGATAGGGTTTCGTTCCGGCCGTAGCGAACGAAAGGCAACGATAATATATAACATGGAAAAAGCCATCTGCCGTTTTCGCGTTCAGGGTAGATAAGTCCGGCCGCGCGAAAACCCGGTCCTCCCACGAGCTCCGGCGAAAGCTCATCGATTTTCTGCAGCACCCGAACCCCGTGCAGCTGGCTAGGTACAGAGGTGGTATCGTTCTAGAAATAACCGTGACCTCTTTATCGGTCGCAGCCCCGTAACTCTTCGACTCGCGATCGCCAGAAAAAAATATTCCCGGTACATCTCGTCAAACTCGACAGTTTTCAGTGTGTCGAACATAGCCTCGCATTTAAAGGATTACAGTGGTAAGGGTACGTCAAACTTAAAATCGAAAAGTACTATCTTAAAGTAGACGTTCCAAGCTTCGATTTAAAAAAATACTCATCACCCTACGATAATGTTTCGCGGAGTTATCGTAGGTCAAAGTTGACCGATCTTCCCGGAAGGATTTCAAAAGCCGCCGGCGGTGCTCGAATAATCGCGTCTCCTCTCCCCAAAAATTCCCCGTCTCTCCGTGTACAATCCGAGCGTCAATTAGGGAGAATTCACAGTATATTCTGAACGAGTCCTAATCGTTGCACGACGATCGCTGGAGTCTAATCGCGGTAATTCCAGCAACGGATAAAAGAAAAAGGTCAAGGATCGCGAGACTCGAAGACGCGGCGAACGAGCTCGACGTTGCTCGGGGATCGTTCCGTCGCGATTAAATCGACCCCCACCTGAATAGGAGGCATCGTTCCGGTCGTTTGTGGGAAAACGATGACGCGTGGGACTCTGGAGGAGCCGTGGAGCCGACTCGAGAAGCTAATCGAGCAACGGGGCCGGGGGCCCGGCGGCTCGTCGCGGCGAGAAAAGTCTCGTTCTCGTTCGACCTTAATTCGATCAGGGTAACGCCTTTAACGAGTTACTCGGCTGACTAATCGGGGACCCGTAGCGTGGCCCGCAGGCCGCACACGGTTGCCCCTTCGCTCGCGGCTCGCCGCATGCGTCGAGGAATTCCCGCGCGGCTGCTGCTCGCGACGTGACCCTCCGCCGCTCTCGGAGGACGACAAACGCTTGTTGCGCGTGCATACGAGTCAACGATCCCATGTTTCGCATTCTTTCCCATGCAGGGCCGAGCTCTGGCTGGCTGGCCGACCCTTCGTTAGTTTCCATTTCGACCGATTCTTTTGTGCCCGCTGCCGACAGAGAGCCGGCATCGCGGCCGAACGCCGGCGGAGAACCGACGGAAACGGGGAGAGAACGAAATTTTTATGCCGTCGCCATGTGAAAAGGACGTTCTTCCTGGAATCGACCGAACGGCGGTGGCTTCGTGGATCGCGACTTTCCAGCTCCGGCGTTTCGAATATGACAGCGGAAAAGTTCTCGAGATAATATGCGACCGAACGCGGTGTTTGTTTTAACGCTAGATTTTACGGAGCAGAAAAAATAAAAGCTGTTTTATTAGGTTATTCAATATATATATATATATATATATATATATATTAGAGATTATAGAATTTTATTCCGAACGGGAAACCGATGTTCAAGATATGAGGACCCGAATGCAACGCTTGGTTTCGCTCGGATATCGGCCGGCTGTGTAATATACGTATATCGGAACGGATCGTATGGAAACGCGAGCTCTGCTCGAGATACGTTGGTTCGTGCGCGCGAAACGCACACCGGAAGCTCATTGTCCGTGCTCGCCGAGGATGCGCCATTGTTTCGGCCCGATAAGAACTCGCCGCGTCGCGAGGCGAAGAGTGAGGCGAGAAGAAGCGCGAGACGCGAGTTTAGGCGAGGCAAAACGCGAGGCAAAGCGAGGGGCAAAGCGTGGGGTAAAACGCGGAGCAAAGCACGGAGCAAAGCGCAGAAAAGCGCGCGGAGCAAAGCGCAGAAAAGCACGGAGCAAAGCGCAGAAAAGCGCGCGGAGCAAAGCGGAGCAAAGCGCAGAAAAGCGCGGAGAAAAGTGCGGAAAAGCGCAGAAAAGCGCGGAGAAAAGTGCGGAGCAAAGCGCGGAGAAAAGTGCGGAGCAAAGCGCGGAACAAAGCGCAGAAAAGCGCGCGGAACAAAGCGCAGAAAAGCGCGCGGAGCAAAGCGGAGCAAAGCGCAGAAAAGCGCAGAAAAGCGCGGAGAAAAGTGCGGAGCAAAGCGCGGAGAAAAGTGCGGAGCAAAGCGCGGAACAAAGCGCAGAAAAGCGCGCGGAACAAAGCGCAGAAAAGCGCGCGGAGCAAAGCGGAGCAAAGCGCAGAAAAGCGCAGAAAAGCGCGGAGAAAAGTGCGGNAAGCGCGCGGAGAAGCGCAGAAAAGCGCGCGGAACAAAGCGCAGAAAAGCGCGCGGAGCAAAGCGGAGCAAAGCGCAGAAAAGCGCAGAAAAGCGCGGAGAAAAGTGCGGAGCAAAGCGCGGAGAAAAGTGCGGAGCAAAGCGCGGAACAAAGCGCAGAAAAGCGCGCGGAACAAAGCGCAGAAAAGCGCGCGGAGCAAAGCGGAGCAAAGCGCAGAAAAACGCGCGAAGCAAAGCGTAGAAAAGCGCGGAGCAAAGCGCAGAAAAACGCGGAAAAGCGCGGAAGAGCGCGGAGCAATGCGCGAAAAGCGCGAGGCTCGCAGCGCCTCAACCGCAGATCGACGCGCCGATAATAAGACGCGCGAGCCGTTCGGTCCCGAGTTCCCACGTCCGAGTCGGAAAAACGGGAAACCCGGCTCAGGAAAAAAAGCGGAGCGACAAGGATTTCGCGTGCACCAGAAGGATGCGGGCCCCCTCTTTCGGCGGGTTCTTCTCCTCGTTTTCTTTTTCTTTTTTCTTTTGTACGTCGTGCCGAGCCAAGGATGCAGCTGCATACGAGCACATCCTGGGTGCACGCGGCGTGCACTGCACGCATCCTGAGGAACGCGGTCGCGTGCTAGGCGCGTTAAACGATGCGGCAACCAACGATCTCTCGCGGGCACTGCGAGTGCACGCCTTCGGAACCGTCCCCGCATCTGGTGCAACTGAAGGCTCTGGTTCGTTATGCCGCGGCAAACTACATATTTTCTCGGAGGCACCGGAAGCTCTTTGCGTCAGATTTCTCGAACTGTTTTTTCCATTTTTTTTTTCTTCATCCAACGCGATCACGGTGGATGGTTTCCTAAGGATGACGATTAATATTAATATTTTCCCGCGGGGCTGATTTTATGCTATGGTGTTCAAATGAAAGCTGGAAGAGTCTACTTTAAGGGAGGGTGAATGAAAACAAAGTGAAATATGTTAAACGCTTTGAAAAATTGGATAAACTGAACCCATGGCGAAAATGGGAAATCGGTGAAAATTGGACGATTTCGAAGGAAAGTTCGGATGGATTTTAAGTGTCTTTTCCGTGGAACTAATTTTACGCTATGGTGCTTTGATGAAAGCTGGAAGAGTCTACTTCAAGTCAGGGTAAATGAGATTAAATTGGTATCGCGGGAATATTATAAAAAATCTGAAAAACTCAAACTATGACTGAAATGGAAAATCGGTGAAAATTCGACGATTTTAAAGAGAAGTTCAGATTGATTTTCAGTAACTTTCCTGTGGGTCTAATTTTATGCTATGGTGCTCAAATGAAAGCAGGAAGAGTCTACTTTCATATAAGGAAAATGAGATTAAATTAGAATTGCGAAGATAGAATGAAAAATTTGAAAAACTCAACCCATGACAAAAATAGAAAATCAGTAAAAATTCGAAGATTTCAAAAGAAAGTTCAGATAAATTTTAAATGACCTCTCCGTAGGGTTAATTTTATGCCATGGTGCTCAAATGAAAGCAGGAAGAGTCTATTTTAACACACGGTAAATTAGATTAAATTGAAATACCTTGAACCCTTCGAAAAATTCGAAAAACTCAACCCATTACAAAAAAGAGAAATCATAGAAAATTCGAGGA